GCAATAGCATGCAGACTAATTGCAAAGTGGGACATATCAGCCACATGTCTGCATTTCTATGCATGCACACACACACACACACACACACTTCAGGCCGCCTGGCATCCCCCCTCCCCCCTTTCTGATGTGTTTTTCATGTTAACACTTTGCAGTGCCTTAGGTACATTGTGCGGCTTCCCACCATACACAGCCCTACTAAGCCCATTTAGAATGTTTTTATGATATAACATGGTTTTTATTTTTCAATTAAATTTTTATACCTTTGTGTTTTCGCCCATTTCTTCTTTTAAGAGTGGCTATTTTTCCATCCTGTGCTGTTTTTCTTCTCTCTGTCTCCTTTGTCTTGAAGAAATGATCTGCGATATATTTTTCAACATTTTTGAGAAATACGAGCTGTAGATTAGAGTTTTGAAAGAGTTTTTGTATCTGTCCTTTTACAAAAAACTAACTATGCTAATTTTGCTTCAGTGGAAGATGTGCCACTGCCAACCTGTCTACAGTCTCTTGTCATTTACTCTCTAAGCTATAAAAAAAAAAAAGAAAAAAAAAAAAAAAAAAAAAGAGAACACTGGCCAAAGTAAAAGTTGTGTCTTACCACTGCAACCAACACATTTCAGGTGCAACTCTTACTAAAGAAAACGATCTCCACTTTCAGAATGTGTTTACCTCAAACTACATTCCTAAGGCAAGAAAATTATTGCAAAAATTCAGCAGGATTTACATGATTACTCCACACTGTTCATAGAGTAAATCACTCCACGTCTAAAAGAAAGAGTGAAAACTGGTTGACAAACATTACCTTGTATAAAGGGACATTTATATAGTCTATATAAGACATTAGCCCCAGTAAATAAATAATGGACGGCATTAAGCAATGTACATCATGATGGACGTGATGGCCCAGCACACTAGGAGTTGTATAAAGACTGTACTGTAATTCACCATATAATGCTGAATGTACAACTCTTCAGGGATGTTTTTACAATGGCACGATCCTATCACAATACTTTTTTTTTTAAAAATGAGTAATTTCATGGTAAATATGCTTGATAAATTATCTAAATTTTTGCCATTTTGCATATAATGATTTATACAATAAACTGACATCTTACCAACTAACAATACATTCAGCCAGTACAAAACGAAGGCAGCACAACAGCACAACATCCAACACCAACATCGAACAATGCCATTTTATTTGCCAATAGTCTGACTGCAGTAAGGAATGTGAATATCAGATATGTGGCTGATATTTCGATGCAAACAGGAAAAGCTAACAAACAAATTCCAAATACACAACGATTAGAGATCAAATCCCTTCCCATGCCTTTCTTTCCTACGACCTTACACTAATCTGAATCTTGATTTGAATAGTTCAGCTAATAAAGAGACATAAAACCTCTACAACATCAGTTCGGCTGGACTCCTTTACGCCACCCGGCTAAAGTGACACCATATCACATTTGACACCCCAAAAGCTTAGGAAATTGATCCCTCAGTATAGCCATTGATTGGGTTGGGATTTGAACACGCGCTCAGGCCAAGCACAGAGGGAAGGGTCAGATGCAAAAATGTGCGCTCAGCTCAGTTGTTTTGTTACGAGAATCGATGGTCCCCCACAATGGAGATTAGCCCACTCAGGTCGCGTAAGGAGCACAGCTCGAGTTACGTTTTGTTATGAGTTTGTACACTGTGTCTGATGGCAATATTTCTGCCTCATTCAGTGTTCACGCGGATCTCTTTTACTTTATCATTTATTGCAATCTAACTTATGTGTTCTTGCTTTGCCAAGTGACCAGATCTGAAAAAAGTGTGCATCTCAGGCAGTAAGTCATTGGCTTTGCTGGAAGTTGACACTATCAGGAGGCACAAACACACATTTGTCTTACGGCAAAATAAAAATATGTCTATGAAATTTACCTCAAACTAGAAGTTCACACAATGACACTGTTTACAGAAAAACAAGTCTGAGTGCATAAGCGTGATCGAGCATGACATCTAATGAGCACGCGTCCCTGCAAAAACACTTTTAGTCTGTGCAAAGAACAAGCATGCGTTTGTTCCTTAATGCTTTGAATCAGTTTCTTATCTGAGGTGTCTTTTTCTCCTGTTAACGTCACTTTTAAGTTGAATTACAAAAATTACATGTTGACTTCTCTAAATCGGAGCAGGGTAATGATAAGGGGGAAAAAATGAAACTTGGAAGCACAAGAAACTAACTGGCTGAAACTGCTGTAAATTTACAGAACCATAGAGAAATAAAAACTGGTGAGTTCAATGTCCTGTGGGACAAAAGCTTACTGGTTGCTGTTTGAATATCTAGTTGTACCTCACACCATTTATTTGCCTCTTTCAACAGTTTCAAACCAGTTGTAGACCATCATGAACATTTCAGCCACACCAAGTATGGATTTTAGAGGACATTTATCCCACTACTTTTATGCTACTGAGAATTTAAAAATCTATTCATTCTATATCCATTTGTTTAATCTTAGACAATAGCCAGTAGCCCCCTTAACTTAGCTGCCTAGCTCTAAGATTTAAAACCTGCCAATCAGGACCTGTACAGCTCATCATCAGCACATTGAAAGCTGCACAACAGAAAAGTATCCAAATGCCCAAAGAAAGAGAGGTTGCAGCACAAAAGCAAGAACACAGAACATTATAAGATAAACAAAAGTGGAAGCCTAAGGATCTAAAGAATAAAAAAGTGGTACAAACAGAGTTGAGCAGAGAGCAGAGGAGGTGAGAGCTGAAGGCTTTGGCAGGGCCAAAGCAGGCCACAAACAGAGCAGCGCTAAAGGGCCCAGGACAAGTGTTGCCATGTCCCCTTGAAACCGCCAAGGCCGCTGGGTGATGAATAAATAAACACCCCCTCCAACCATCTAGCCTCTTCCTCTTCCTGCTCTCCTTGTTTTGCAGCCAACACACATACACACACATACACACATAGAAACTGGCACATGCACGTAAACAATACACACAAATGCCTACATGCATGATTGCCATTGGCCTGACTGCCCAAATACATACTCATAAACATGCAGGCTTTGTGCAGCAGAGTTTCACTGCTTGTGTGAGTGCCTGCAGATGTGTATGCATCTGGCAGGTTGCTCTGTACATCCAACTGTCTGTTTGCCAGAGCTTATTTGCTGCTTTGCCTACTGTTCATCTCTATGCGTTTCACTGCCTACCTATATTTATCCAAGAATATGTGGAGACATTCCCACACTCATAACTCATCTGAGAAATCACTCACACACACACAAATTCAGACACATGCAGCAATGTCATGTCAGAGCTTAAGAAAACAAGAGACATGAAGCTGAGAGAATCAGTGATGGAACCTCGGCTCCACATCTCCTGGCCTGACAGTCAGTGAAAATAACTTCAATTATTCAACTTGGCGGACCAAGAAGCCAAAGACAGAGCAACTGGCCTTTTAACTTGTAACTTGTGAGAATGTTGTGACTCACTGCTGCTCAATGAAATGTAGATAATTTGTTTTGTTTTGAAGCGTATTTGTCATTACTACTTTGTTGCTTTTGTCAGAGCTGAGATCTGCTTTTCTTAAACAGCGAGTGAAAACTGAGATTAAGTACAGTGAAAAGCACTTAAAAGTGAAGGACAAATTTCGATATGATCTGATCTACCAGGAACTATGGAAGAAAGGGCACATATTACTCAGGGTATTGACTGATATGGGTTTTTAATGTCTATAACAGTATGTCTGGATTTTTTTGAAGCCTCAAAAATTCTATAGCTATTATAACGGGACATGAAAAGGTCTTTGGAAGAAAGAGGTTAAATTAAAGTTTTTCGGTGTTAAACTTGAGTTAAAAAAGCAAGTTTTCATAGAAGGCTTTACAAACTATAAAGTGACAGGACTTTGAGTAAAATATTATCCTCTTACACTGTAAAACCTGACAAGTTAACTCAAATGATTTGGGGAAACCGATTGCACCAATTGATTCAAGTTTTATAACTTAAACAGTTTGGGGTTATTTAAGTACTTTATTAGAGTCCCAAGAACCCAAAGCAAATATGATAATGTAACTCAAATGCATTATGTTTATTTACTCATTGTATTTAGTATGTTTCAACTTAAACCATTAAATTTCTTGTACTAAGATGCTGTATTTATTCAAACTTATTTAAAGTGTTACATGCTCATATTCAAATTAAGTTAAATTAACTTAAATAGTTGTATTTAAACAACTTAATCCAATTGGGGAAACCGATTGCACCAAATGGTTCAAGTACTATTAACACAAAACCAAGCTATTATTCTTTCCATTCAGTTTTTATTAACTTTAACTGCAGAGAAAATACAGAATGAATACAACCATACTTTCAGTCATAACCTATGACTGCTAAAGCCATTATCAAATAACAAATAATTAGGCATTTTAAAACTTGCACTTTTAGGGAATTTTGAATGTTTTTTGTAGCATTTTGAAAATCGATTAAATGTACAAAACACAAATTTAGTCATGTAGACCTGATACATAGGTGTACATCATAAAAAAACAATAGTCTAGAGGCAATTAGAGCCATAACAATCACAATTTTAAGTAACATTTAGTATAATAATGAAATCACATGCACTACAGCAATGCAACTATAGAAAACAGCTGAACTAAGGATGTCACTAACAAAAAGTATTCTCAAAGGTATTTGTGGCTTCACAACAGTTTTGCCCAGACCTCGAGTGAACTGGCACTCATCACACAATTAAAAAATAAAGCATGAAAGTATACTGTACATATTGACTAATTATCAGTTATCTCGCAAAAGATTTCCATGTAACTAAAATATGTTTTTAGAAATAAGCTTAAGATTACACACTATGTGAAGATTTTTTTCAATCACAAACAAAACGTCAAATATGGATTTTCTCCTTATTCTTAGCTTTCTCCACATTGCCTTTTAGAAAGCTAATTACCCAGAACAAATAAAACTATTGAAACCATTCACAGATAACTGAAAAAGCACGAATATAGTGACCAGTGAAAAACAAACATCATCTGCACAAGCTCATTTTTTAGTGTCTGCAATTTTGGTTTTAGTTGCTTTCTCTCATCGTCTAGCTTCAGCAACACTACTTGAATGAACTCAAAAAAGCCAGTATACTTCATAGGATAGCTCAGATGCAGAGCATAGATTAGCCCAAACAAAGACACCAGGGCATCAGTCCATGAGTGATGAGTCATAACAAACTGATCTTCAAGTTCTATGAACACTTGGCGTGGTGAGAAAGGAACTCCTCCAGGCACCTCCTCTTCATCGACATCAGCAACCAGAGCAATTCTATGGCTTCATAGAACTCAATTTCACCCTAAGATATAATACAGAGTGCACAATTATTCATCTGTAATATCTCTGTTAAAAGCATAAATACAAATGTTCAGGCACCTTTCTTCAGTTTTTCAAATTCTATATATCATAACATGTTTTAAGTTGACAGTGAAGGTTCATTTTTCATTCATCCAGGTAGTCAAATCAAGGATGAAAGAAGTTTATAAGTCATTCAACTTCACGTCTTCAACTTTCAACCCAAGTCCAGATGACTTATAAACTCCTTTCAACCTTTTTTAAATTCAAATGTGCAAATTATTGTAATACCAAAGTACCTTGCATGTTTTGAAAATCTCTGAGGTACATTGGTAGGCCGGCCAGAACTGCTGTTCTAGTTGCATAGATGTCGTTTGTGTCCTTATATATATAAAACACCCAGCACGCCCCTGCGGGCGGTTTATCCTTCAAGCTCGGGTCCTCTACCAGAGGCCTGGGAGCTTGAGGGTCCTGCGCAGTATCTTAGCTGTTCCCAGGACTGCGCTCTTCTGGACAGAGATTTCCGATGTTGTTCCCGGGATCTGCTGGAGCCACTCGCCTAGCTTGGGAGTCACCGCACCTAGTGCTCCGATTACCACGGGGACCACCGTTACCTTCACCCTCCACATCCTCTCGAGCTCTTCTCTGAGCCCTTGGTATTTCTCCAGCTTCTCGTGTTCCTTCTTCCTGATATTGCTGTCATTCGGAACCGCTACATCGATCACTACGGCCGTCTTCTTCTGTTTGTCTACCACCACTATGTCCGGTTGGTTAGCCACCACCATTTTGTCCGTCTGTATCTGGAAGTCCCACAGTATCTTAGCTCGGTCATTCTCCACCACCCTTGGGGGCATCTCCCATTTTGACCTCGGGACTTCCAGGTTATACTCGGCACAGATGTTCCTGTACACTATGCCGGCCACTTGGTTATGGCGTTCCATGTATGCCTTGCCTGCTAGCATCTTGCACCCTGCTGTTATGTGCTGGATTGTCTCTGGGGCATCTTTACACAGCCTGCACCTTGCCTGGTGTGATAGACCCCAGCCTCTATGGATCTTGTGCTCAGAGCTTGTTCTTGTGCTGCCATGATTAGTGCCTCTGTGCTGTCTTTCAGTCCAGCTTTGTCCAGCCACTGGTAGGATTTCTGGATATCAGCCACCTCCTCTATCTGCCGGTGGTACATACCGTGCAGGGGCCTGTCCTTCCATGATGGTTCCTCGTCTCCCTCCTCTTTCTTGGGTTTCTGCTGCCTGAGGTATTCACTGAGCACTCGGTCAGTTGGGGCCATCTTCCCAATGTATTCTTGGATGTTCGTTGTCTCATCCTGGACTGTGGTGCTGACACTCACCAGTCCCCGGCCCCCTTCCTTCCGCTTATCGTACAGCCTCAGGGTGCTGGACTTGGGGTGAAACCCTCCATGCATGGTAAGGAGCTTTCTTGTCTTTATGTCAGTGGTTTCTATCTCCTCCTTTGGCCAGCTTATTACCCCAGCAGGGTATCTGATCACGGGCAGGGCGTACGTGTTGATGGCCCGGATCTTGTTCTTACCATTCAGCTGACTCCTCAGGACTTGCCTGACCCTCTGCAGGTACTTGGTGGTTGCAGCTTTTCTAGCGGCCTCTTCATGGTTCCCATTTGCCTGCGGGATCCCCAGGTACTTGTAACTGTCCTCTATGTCTGCAATGTTGCCTTCTGGTAGTTCAATCCCCTCAGTTCTGACTACCTTCCCTCTCTTTGTTACCATCCGACTACACTTCTCTTGTCCGAACGACATTCCAATGTCATTGCTGTATAGCCTGGTAGTGTGGATCAGTGAATCGATGTCTCGTTCACTCTTGGCATACAGCTTGATGTCATCCATGTACAGGAGGTGGCTGACAACTGCTCCGTTCCGTAGTCGGTATCCGTAGCCAGTCTTGTTAATGATCTCACTGAGGGGGTTCAGGCCTATGCAGAACAGCAGTGGGGACAGAGCATCTCCTTGGTAGATCCCGCACTTGATGGTGACTTGTGCTATGGGCTTGGAGTTGGCCTCTAGTGTTGTACGCCACATCCCCATTGAGTTCCTGATGAAGGCTCTTAGGGTCCCATTGATCTTGTACAATTCTAGGCATTCCAGTATCCAGCTGTGGGGCATTGAGTCATAGGCCTTCTTGTAATCAATCCAGGCAGTGCACAGGTTGGTCAGTCTGGTCTTGCAGTCTCGGCTGATTGTTCTGTCTACCAGTAGCTGGTGTTTTGCACCTCTGGTATTCTTGCTAATTCCTTTCTGTGTCCCGCTCATGTATTGACCCATGTGCCTGTTCATCTTAGCCGATATGATACCTGACAGGAGCTTCCATGTAGTACTGAGGCAGGTTATTGGTCGGTAGTTGGAGGGGAGGTATATATATATACCAATATATATATATATATATATATATATATATATATATATATATGTATATATATATATATATATATATAAATAAACAAACACATAACAGTGGCAACTGCCAAGCAAGCAGAATAATAATTAGTATCTTTTAAATACCTGTTTTCCATATGCCGACAAAAGCTGCTCCATCCTTTCACCGACCCGTCCAGTTTTCCTCTTTTTGTAAAGTCCAGTCAGCTGAGGAGCATAATCATCCAGCGCAGCATAAAACACATGTGGCAGATTCTGATTGGTGATCCGATGAAATTCAAAGTAGAGCTGAAGAGAATTCCAAAATATTATAAGCAAAACACAGCATACTATATGAGCAGCAAATGTTATATACATAGTTGTACTTACCTGTGTCTCATGAAAGAGTGCTGGCCATGGTCCCTCGCCTGGCAAAATTTGAGGTTATTGGATGAGGGCGATTAACTTTGTCAGAATGTTGGTATGGAAAGTGCAGAATTGCTCTGTTTAAGTCTTCTAAGTTAAAATATCTCTTAGAAATCAAACCTTTAAACAATGTGCCAACTCCACTGAAATGACACCTTCAAACAGATCGTGTAGGAAGTCAGGTGGGAAGCCTGTGACAGGATGAAAGAAAGAGAGATGGTCAGAAGGAACACAGGTATTTTTAACACCATAGTTTTCCTTAATGTCATCATTCTGAAGCTCTTGCACAATAATTATCATGAGCATCTTTTGTTCTCATTACATAATTCCCTGTAACAGCATTTTCTGTTTGCATTTCTGTTTGGGTGGCATGACAAAACCTACAGAAATATGTAGACCTGAAACTCTCATTGAAACCAGCAAGTCCATGGGCAGAAGGTTGTCTGCCACAACAGAGTAGACAGTGCCTTTAAGACATTCACCAAGAGTCTCAATGTAGGCACCTACTTCTTCAAGAGTTTTCAGATCATTTAAGAGTGGTGACAGCATTTCCTTACACCCAAACTGGCGTACATCATTGGAATTGCACAGCAGAGCAAGCTGGGTGCAGTGTAGAGCAGAACAAGATTTAACTGGAAAGTTTTCCAGTGTCCAATAAACTGCAAAGACTTTATGTATTTTCTTTGAGGTACCAAGTGGGTTTGTGATCAAAATCATCCACATAAAGTATCATTGACAATTTCTGTCCCTCTTGTGACAGTAGAACATTTTCCTGGTAGTAGGATCCATCACAAAATGACATGAAATGTCCAGGAATCTGTGTGGGTGCTTGTTTAATTTCTTCAAGCACATCGTTTTTTTTCAACAACAATTGCAAAGATGTGAGAATAGGCACATACATATAAGTGTGCTTTGACGATTCAATTAAATACTCCACAGGTTTGACATGTGGAAAATTTTCTTCATAATATGATTTCCTCCTCTTTGCTGTAGATAGTGGTCCTTCAGATGTGACACATTTATGTAAAACATTACTATCAGAAACTGCCTGACAAATCTCATCCACCAGTTTGTCCGTATATGTACAGTTGTGCTTTTTCAGTATATCTACAACTGATTTTCTAACCAAAGGTTGTGATAACAAAAACAACTGATCAATATGCTCAATAATCTCCTGTGTTGCTCTCTGGGACACATGGAGAAGCGTCTGCATTTTCAAGAAAAATCCAGCCAGATTGTATTGCAACTGCTCTTCTAAACCCTCAATTCCACTGATTTCACTGGTGGATGCCACTTGATTGTCATCTGATGACTCTATTGAATCAAGCTGCATGTCATCTTTTTGTTCTACATTTATAACACTTTGCACAATGCCTTCATCGTAACTTGTTGAATTTTGGTGGTCTCTGCATTTGTGGGCATTGAAGGTTGAGTAGACATTGGTTTTAAAATTGCAGTTCTTGAAAGGACATGGAACAGTTTCTTTTCGTTTTAAATGCCCCCTCAGATGGATAAACATTTGGCTTTCAATAAATGGCTGCTTAAAATTACACATAGAGCAACAAAATCCATAATTATTCAAATCTGGATAAGAACCGTCTTTTCTTTGCGTGGGAGTGTGCATTGTTGACATGTGTATCTTTAATGAATTAAATGTATTAAATGTACACATGCATGTGTTGTAGAGACAGGGTAAGGGTGAAATTGTGGAGTACTGACCATGGTTGAGCCGATAATGCTTCAACAACATGACTTTTATGGCAGTAGAAAAACTAGACAAACTACACAACTTGCAATTCCACATTTTGATACCAAATCGTTTTAAAATCACCTTTACTGGTTGTCTTTAGTGCAGTGCTGGATGATCTCTCGGCATGCTACTGCTCCTTCAATCGTCAGACTGTAATAACACAAAAGCCATGAGGACAGAAAGCTAGCAGAACAGTTTTTACTTTTACTTCACTTAAAAACAGTCAATCTGAATAACACAAGCTTGGAAAACAGTAAGATTTATTCTTGCACTACAGTTCATTTTCAATTCAGGTTGGTCAACTACTCTAGACGTTATAAAATAATAAAGCAATTTTACACAAGTGAAGTACACAATAGGCTAACCCTTGGAAAGTACAGAGTCAGAAACGTTTAGGTTTGGTGCAGTGCAGCTTTGAAAAGGTAAATTATTTCGCGACTAAAATGCCACTAACCATCATATTCAAAATTTGTGAAGGCGAACTTGTCCGTTAAACTCTTAAAATTAACACTAAATAAATTTTCTACTATTTTCACTGTGTCAAAAGTAGGCTACATTTGAACTTGATAAAGGTCAGAGTCAGAAAAGCGTAAACACTGATTTTACCAAAGGTTTTGTGGCATGCAGTTTGCAAAAATCAGACTACTTACCAACTATTGATTGAAACAAGCCACCAACCGTTAATTTTTTAAATTGTGAAGGCAGACTCCATACAGCGCTAGGCGGGAATTGTGTGCTGGCAAGCTAAGTTACGAGCTACTACAACAAAGTAGTCTGATAAATTACAACGAAGTACAACTAAAACAAAGCAGTCTGATAAATGTACGTTTTGTATGCTAGAAGTAAGCATTAACAAAAAAACATAAAAATAACTTTATCTTGTACTTTCCACTCTCTTGACGAGGCTCCTGTCTCATGGCCGACAAGTCCAGGCAAAACACTGGGGGCGGGGCTGTGGATGATGACTAATACAAATGAATTAGCACAACTTAAACAGTTTAAAGCAACAGTACTTAAAACGTTACAAAAACATAATGTGTACTTATTACAATAAAGTTATTATATCATATGTATACTTTTGGGTCTACCTAACACACTTCATGAAAGTTAGTTTAACTATTTTTCAGAACTGAGTAAGAACAACTTACTTCTTTTAGTAAGATGCACTGTTGGGTTTTACAGTGTATAAAGCATAAACAACAATACAGACGCAATCAAAATCATCCCCAACGACTACTAATCAGTGGTAAACAAGGGGTTTAATAACTGTTAAGAATACAATGTTGACTTCACACTCACTGGACATACCTCACTAGGGCCAGGCTGCACTTTTACCTTCAGAACTGCCTCAATTCTACATGGAATAGATTCAACAAGGTCCTGGAAACTTTCCTCAGAATGCCATACTGGCATAACAGATCACTGTTTTGGACCATTCTCTATAAACCCTAGAGATGATTGTATGGGGAAAATCCCAGTAGATGAGCAGTTACAGAAATAATCAGATGATCCCAACAACCATGTCATGCACTGACATTTCTCCTCTCATTAAATCTTCTAACTACAATTCATTAGAAACTCATCTTTATAGATATGATTTCAGGTTCTATACACAACTATACAATTAATAAGTCTTGCATTGGTTTTTAATGATTATATTTTATTGCATTATAATTCTTTCCGCTGGTTGTGTTCTTGTGAATTTTTCTTTTTCTCAGATCTTGCTTATAAATTGTAAGACAGGTCTTAAACTCAGTGAGAACCTTGCTAGTTTTGCTCCTCAGCTTGAGCATCTGCACTGGCAGGATTTACGGTACTGCAGTATGTATCACAACGAAAGCAGGGTCATGTTTAAACCTTACTCCACAGATTGTGAATATAGTGACAGTATCATGATTAAAGAGTCAATGTCGCAGTCTTGAAGATTTCAACCATACTGTTCCACGAATTATACAAACAAATACTGCAGTCAAAACCCAAGTATTGTGTTTTAAGAATGTAAAGTTTAATCAGAATCTGAGAGATTGCACAGCCTGAAGCAATAGGTACTTTTTCAGTTTTTTAGTATAGAAGAGCACAGGCTAACACAAACCACTAACATAAAAATAGCTTAGATTTTATTGCAATTCGCCTGAAAATTTCAAAAAATCAAAAAGTTCATTTCTTTCTCCAGTACGTTCACATGCACGTATATAATATTAAAAAAATACTCCCTTCTTACAGCACATCTGACGCACTTATTGCTCTCCATCAGACAGAAGATTACATGGCAACCTTGACCAGTCTGCTGATCGTACATTTCAACACAGTCTCCACTGACACCTCATTCTGTTGCGTCATCAGCTTGTGCTCTACAACCGCCATTACGTCACATCAGTGCACTGATGACTTAAAACAAAATAAGGAGTCTATTGTACATGTTACATCATATTTTGGAATGTTCCAAGTGAGTTGCTGTTGAGTTCTATGGCGGTACTTTTGATGATGTGATCATCCCCAAATGCTGCTGTTAGGAACAATGAAAATTTTTGTAGTTATGCCTCTGTACTCTACCACAGCAGACTGATAAAATTAGAATCAAAGTACTTGAAATACAGACTTTTAGCTTTCATTCAAGGGGTTTTATAAATATTTACCATGCATAGTTCAAGAATTACAGACATTTTTATATGGGTTTATTTCTTTTATGTACAGCCATATCTGGTGGAGGGTTGGGGTTTTTTTTTTGTTTTTTTTTAATGTCCCCCCTATCTGCTTTTGAAGACATCAACAAGACATCAATCATACATCGATCTACATCATCTACATGCTGTGAATGAATTGTCACCTTGGGTGGTCTCAACAATATGTGGAACAACCAGTCCTTGAGGTACTCTTGTTTGGGTGGAAGCTTGTTTCCACCACAAAAACAAAAATTTCAGGGTATTATCCTAAGATTTCGAGTTATTTTCTCAGAAAATTTAAAGTCAAAATTGTGATTTAATAACTTGAAAGTTTGACTTACAGATGTGGAAAAATATATATTTTTTTGTTTGGTTTGGTTTTCAGTGGCTGAAACAAGCTTCCACGTGTTTGTATCTGTGCTTGCCATCCTTGCCAAAGACAACAAAGTCATAAGACGCACACACAGAACGTTGTTCTAGCACAGTGAAACTTTGTTGTGTTAAAGTGAATATAAACTCCCCCGTGCAGCCACTGTCTGAGCTTGTTGTTCATACTTTATTTTTAACAGAAACAAATGTGATGCCAGTAATTCCACTTCACTTTTGTCTGTATGAGTTTGGTCTTACTCATGCTTTCAGTTTACTTCCCGTTTTATTATGAAGGTTAGCTCCTCGTGTTTTTTTGTGCTCTTACTTCTCTCTTTGTTCTCTTCCCCACCCTTGTTAGTGTCCAATTACGTTCACCTGTACCTTTTTATCCTCTTGTGTGCATTTGATATGTCTGTCTCCTCAGAGTTTGCCAGGTCTTTGTCTTCAACTTGTTTTCACTTGTTGCTTGTCTCTGCTTTTGCATTCGAGATGCCTGTCCCACTATCACTGCAGCACTCGGTATATTTTTCTTTAACTTAGTAATTTAAGCATGTTTTTGACTCATTGCTAGTGATCAGGAGTTAAAATGCTTCACCATACCAGGTTCAGTGCTCAGATAACCAGCAAAAGGAAAACAAGAGCTCCAGTTTCTTAATTAAGTCTAATAAGATATGTGCATCTTAAACAATATCTCATACTCCCACCCAGCTTAAATAGAACTGGGATAAAAGATTCAGATGCTAATCATTACCTCAGTTTACCAGCTTCATTCATTCATTCCCAAACAAACAGGGCTCGCAAGCGCAGTAACAGAAGCTCATAAGTACCCAAAACTGAGCTTGATGCAAAACACAAAACAATTAAGGGGAAATACACACCTGCCTATTACACTAGTGCTCATTGGTGGGTTCATTCATCAAAGTTGTGACCTCAGCTGGCCTTCATTAGGTCTGCAGAAGTGCTATCCATTAATGTACAACAACTAATTATCAACACTTCCTGAAGAAGGGCCGTTGTTCTACTTGTGCACAAATTCACTCAAGCAGCCAATCAAGTTTTGAGTTAAATGTTAGATTTACTTTAACCTTCTCATATATCCATATATCTGTCGGCATTCAGCACATGCACGTGTCTTTATATGGATGCAAATGATTTTCAGGCTGTTTATCTGGATGCACGCAGGCATAGAAAAGTGCATGTGTGTACGTGTGCACTAGTGTGATATCAACGTGTGTTCTCTCTGCTCTCCATGCTGCTCTGCTCCCACAGTGCCCCTGGGACCCATCTGCCTCCCTGTTATTAATTCATCAGGCTTAACCATGCAGCGCTTTATGACTCTGTTTGGACTGACGAACTATCACACACCGCCGCTATCTCTCGCTCACTCTCTCACAAGAACACAGTATTGAAAAACAATATCTGTCACTGGATGCTGAACCTTCACTTGCGGCGCGATATGTCTTTGGTATTGTCTTGGCCTCTGTTTGTATTCCAGAATCATCAATATGGTAAGCATGAGTGTAGCATGGCTGCCACCAAAGCAGATGACTGCACCATTATTGTCTGTGGTCAGTAAATCGCTCAAAGAATATTAAGTTGAATTAACTGGAATAAAAAGAAAAAAAAGATGATAGAATATCCTCTGACACTTTAAAAGCCCCTAAATGGCCAAAATTATTTCTCTGGGCAGCCCTTAACTTATCTCACTTTCCTTCGTCTCCATCTGTGTAGCTAATCCCCATCACGGAAAGTATTTTGGCTGATTGGAACCATGTTCCGGGCTAACCTTTTTAAGGAAAGAAATTTAGACTTTGCATTGAAAGATAATCTAAGAATCAATCAATGCCCACCACGTGAATACGTCTTGATTGCCATGTCTAAACCTACTCCCATCAAAGACAGGGAGATCTGAGATTGCGGCACATCAAAAGAGTTTATCTAGCTAGTATTATGTGACTGTAAATAGCTGCAGCAACACGACACACAGTGAGCAGTGAGAACTAAGAAAGCAGAAGTGGAACAAGAGGGAGAAAAGTAGGCAAATAAAGGGAAAAGTCTTATCACACTGGCTTAATCAGGAGCCTCAAAACAGTGAATACAAAATACAAACAACAGAAAAATATATAGATTTTATTTATTTATTATACACAGAGATACAAATATTAACTTTGCAACTCATTTTAATTATTCAGTTTAGTTTTTTTGCGTTTTGTAGCAACATTAGTCTTTTTTCAAATTTTCTACTTTCTTGACACTTAAGAATCAAAACATCGCAAGAAGCATCTTATGGAACAAAAAAAAAAAAGAGAAAATGAACTTTAGCTATTACACAGTGAAAGTGATTTTATCAGTTCCATGAACTCAACAGAGCTTCAACAACTGCGATAACTCTTATTTTGCAGAATTAATGCTACTTACAATTCTCCGCTAACTGATTTGCATTGAATACATCCTCCACAAAAGGTGACAAACATTTATTTCACAAATAACAAAGGTGATTAGGAATGACTTTACCCCACTGCACTTTATTCCTCAGAAGGCAAAACTAAAATTGAGGACAACCAGGGGGAGTTCTTATTGGTTCAACAGTGGCTGACTGCTAGGATTACACTGCCCCCCAGTGGCACAAAAGTAAAAGCTTACATTTCTGCATTGACGAGCAGAAGGCAATCAAATTTTATAAAACGTTCAGAATGAAGCTGAAAGTTAGGTCCTCAGAGCTAGTTGGTGTGCTGATCTAAAGACACATAACCATACGGGTGTTGGCAAATATGTAGAAACTAAGATTAGGTTCATAGTGTAAATTTTAAATGCCAGCTGAGCCCAAATTAGCTCTCATTTACACAATATGCTGTGGTAGAGTATTTTCCAAAACAAATTTGATCTGCGTGTGTAGTAGAACATTTATTAGTTCAGGCTGTAGATGAAAATGCCCAAATTGCCTATTTTGCTATTCATTTTAACTGGATGTAAACATACGTGTGCAAACAGTCACACTCTCATGACATCTGATCAATAA